TTATAGGATCAAACTAGAATCCTCTAATAGTATCTTAGAAGCAAATAAGATCCTGTTGGATAAACTGAAATGAGGAAATTCGGTTTATTCAGGATGATCTTTTTTTCCCCCACTGTATTGGTAGAAATTCCCTTTGCATTTTTTACTTGGGCAAAAGGTGGTGTACAAACACTAAAGCAATTTGAAACACTAACAAACATGTACTACTAATAATGGTAACACAATTTAAGGGGAAAGTGAGAACTCAAGTGTGCCATTTGCATGCAAGATGTTTTCTGTGCTAATCACAAATGCATGTTTGTGGAGCATCAGGAGAACTGGCTAATCCGGCCTTGTCACCGTAAGCTTGCTCCAGCAGTGTTTTAGTGTGGCTTTAGCAGTCGTGCCGACAGCAGATTGTGCACATGTGTGCTGTCTGTGCACACGTAAGAAAGCTCACTACTGCTAAACATGTGACGGGGAAAAGTTTGTCATTTCAAATGAAAAAAGTAAAACTGCTACAGTTAATTGGTTAGCTGTACAAACTGTATTAATTATTAACTGTATTAACATGTTAATTGGTTTATATGTAAGGGAATTCTATATTATACAAGACAATATATGTACATTTAAAGTAAAATATTTGTAAAAAGAAAATATTTAATTTTGAATTTTTTTTTAAACTATTTTTAAAAAGAAAAATGTACACACTTTTGCGTGTGTGTGAGAAAGAGTTACGTATGGAAGTTTTCACCTCATTTCTCAAGTTCGCCTGCAGTCCTGATGGTTGATGGTAAACGAACTTGGCTTGCTGTCGTTAATGGAAGTTCGAACCCAAGGCTCAGCTTGAGCGCCAAGTTCAACCCCCCATTGTGGTACAACCTAGAGGGAGAAAAAACAGGAATAGAGGTGGAGATGGGGAGGTGGAGGGATGCCGGAAGAATTGACGCTGTGACGGCGCAATGAGAGCTGCTTATATAGGCTTGTAATGATGATTGACAGGATTGAATGGTTAGGCTCCTCCCGAACCTACGTTTGGGACATTAAAAAAATTAAAGATGAAGTATAAAATAAGAAATAGTCTCCTATTAAGTCAAATTGTTAAACAAAGTCACATTATGAGAAATAGTTCGGGATGTAACGATTAACTGCGAGCCGGTTGAAAATCGATTCAAATTTGTGACGATTCAAATAGTTTGAGATGCTAAAAAAAAATCGCGATTCAATTAGGGGTAGGAGTTTATGAACTTATGTCTGAGGGGAACTTACTGTCTTTAGAAAAGTTTAGATGGTATTTTTTATTTTCATCTTGCCTCTGTATAATGCATATTAAAGTTATTATGCTAATTGAAATTTGGAAAAATTAAGTTGCAATTGTGAGAAAAACGTTGCAAAAAATACAGTTTGTGAGAAATAATTGCAACAACGAAAAATAAAATTGTAATTGCGCAATATAATAACAATTGTGAGAGAGAATTATTCACAATTGTGAGAAATAGTCACATGTGATATTTGTGTTTGTGAGAAAAAGTGAATATTATAAGATATATTCACAGTGTAAGATATAAAGATAAATAAGGCCACAATTTTTTAAATTGCAATTTACTGAAATTAAGTTGCAATTGTGAGATATATTTACAATTATGATAAATAAATTTCGCACTTACAAAAAACACAAAGTCGCAATTAAATAGTCCCAATTGTATAAAGTCACATTGTGAGAAAAAGTTGCAATAAAAAAAAAAAGTTCCAATAATGGTAAAATGTCGCAATTACAAAAACTAAATGTTGCAATTGTGAGATAATGTCACAATATGAAAAACAGATGCAATAATTACAAAGTTGTAACTGATATAAAATCACAATTACAAAAAAAGGTTTCGCAATTGTAAGACATAGCTACATAAAAATTGTGGCATAACATTTGTAATTTTGAGAAAAATTCAGAATTGTGAGATACAGCATATTCACACTTTGAATTATAAAGTCACAATTATGATAAATAATGACAAAATTAATTGCAATTACAAAAATGAAAAAGGAAGAAATATGCAATTGTCAGAAATAGTTGCAATTGTGAGATATAAATAAAGTTGAAGTAAATACGTTTGTTAATTAATAAGTTTAAGTAAATAAAAATTTTGTGAGACTTCAGACCAAACCAACACCTTTATCAAGACAAGCTCTTTCTCCTGCTCACCTTCTTTTCGCTTTCTCTCTCTCTCATCCACTCTCCGACATCCTGTTTATAGCGGAGGCTGTTTCAGATTAGCGCTAGCTCCGTGCCACCCGCAGACATCCAAATGCAGACCATGTGTGTGTGCGCGAGGTCATGGGCCGCACTCCCACTTTCTCTTTCTGAGGCCAGGGGCACATTCTGCCCGAGAGGCCTCCTCTTCCTTCTCTCATCTCCCTCGCTCTACCCTCCGCTGAACCTCTGCTATCGGCAGCACGGGGTCAGAGGTTAATGGGGTGGTAATGTGGGACTAAGAGGGAAAATCTCTACGTTAATACCACCCCACCCCACCACCCCTCGCCAGCCACCAGAAACCATTAACATCGCAGTCTCGCAAATACTGTCATCTTTCAGCACGCCTAACGTGGACTTCCTCTCAGTGTCATGTTGTTTTATGACCCTCTCTTCTGGAAACCCATGGGTCTCCTGCTCGCTCCCAAAATTGACGAGGAGAATGAGAAATGGTGAGTATTTATTTCCACCTCAAGCGCTGATCCTTGACCTCTACCAGTCCAGGGAAAGACACACACACACACACACATTTTTAATGTATCGATTATTAATCTCTAGTTAATTTACAAAAAAACAAAAAAAAACAATTGAGAACTTTGTCAGGTGAACTGTCACCTGCCAATAAAATCATAATAGTGTTTGATCTTTGTGTTTCTTGAGGTGCTGCTATGCTGTGGCTAACGTTTTTCTTGTTTTTTTTTGTGGTTGTTAGCGCGTTGCTAATCTGGGTGAGTTATGGGTGGTTACTTAGTGGCGCAAGTCAAAAGACTCTTATTATCCAGGTTAAAATTGTGTTTATTAGCAACTATACGCTAATTACTTACAAAAAGTAATTTTATATGAGAAAGAATATAAATACACACAGTAAAAACTGGCACTTGTTTCATCCAAGGTAAACAGAATATAAAACTAGTGTATATAAACTACTGTTCAAAAATATTCAAGGGTGGTACAATTGTATAACATTTTTGAAAGTCTCTTAGGCTCAAAAAGGCTGCATTTATTTGATAAAAAATACAGTAAAAGTAGTAACATTGTGAAATATTATTATATAATTTAAACTATATATATTTATATAATTTTAACTGCTTTCTATTTGAATATGTTTTCAAATGTAATTTATTCCTGTCATGTAAAGCCAGTCTTCAGTGTCACATGATCCTTCAAAAATGCTTAATATTTAATATATTAAGCATTCATTGATTCA